TAGGGTGTAATCAGCTATATCCAAACGAATCCTAAAATTGAAATAATCAAATCTAACTAATCGAATTAATTCTAATTGTAATCCAAGATAAGCAGTGAATTTAACAGTATTGAAACTAAAATCAAAATAACAAAAATATTCATGGATCAATTAATCGAAACTAAACACTAAACCAAACCGACAGAAATCAAAACAGAACAACAAAAAAAAAAAACAAGACACAATTAATGGAACAAAATCAATTAAGACCCTAAGAATTCTAAATCAATTAACATGAAAATTGATTGATTAAAGAGAGGATACCATAATTGAACGAAGTTATTATGCAAAACAAAGAAGAAAAAGTAAACAAAAACTAAACGAAATAAAAAGAAAATCAAACAAAGAAAGAAAGACTTACTAATTTCTGGCTTCCTAATCGACTGACCCTGAATTGAATCCCCAAATTATGTTATATGCTTGTTCTTGCCAAGAACAAGCACATAACTTTATTTAGAACTCTAATCAAACACTGGGAGCCTTAAAAAAAAAATTGACCCGTCTTGAATGAAACCCTAGATCTAAAATTCGAAGGGTTCAACCTCGATTTGAATAATTTTGGTTTGGTATTTGGGAAGAGGGGGTCGAGGAGGCCATGGGGTGTGATTTTGGTTGAGTTTGGGTGGCGGCGCCGCCGTGTATGGTGGAGGCGGCGTTAGGGTTTGGTTTATTCGACTAATTAGGATGGGATTTGAAAGAAAATAAGGCTGGATTCATAATGAGGATGAAGAGAGGAAGCAGTGGTGTATTTTTGGGAGTGATTGGTTAATCGCTGCCGGCGGAGGCGATTTTCGGCCGGCGGCAGACGGCGGAAAGGGACGGCGTTACGTTCTCTAGGGTTAGAGGTGTGTGCGAGAGACGGTGAGAGGGGGCAGGGGGGCATCCGACACTTTTATACCCTTAATCATCGTTAGTTTCGGACCGTTGGATTGATGAGATCCAACGGTCCTAATTCAAAGACCATGAAACGACGTCGTTTCAATTAGAAGGGGGCTGGACCGGGTTTCTGAGATGGGTCTTGGGCTCAATGACCGAGTTTGGTTCGTTTGGGCTTTGATCTTCTGATGGGTTAGCCCAAAATGGGGCATTTTATTCTTTTTGATTCTCTTTTGATTTTTTTCATTTTTTCCATTTTTCAAATTCTTGTAAAAATACAAAACAATTAACAGAACTGATTTAATTCTAAAATTAAACTAATTAATTTTCAAAATCAACTAAATCCTAATTTTAAAAGAATACTAAGGAAAAGATCAAAATTAAAAGTAAAAATGCAAAAGGACTATTTTTGTTATTTTCTTCCATTTTTGTAATGTTAATTAACTAATAAGACTAAAAATATTTAAATGAGGTGCTAAATGCAAATGCACTATTTTTTTTTTGTATTTTTATGAATTATATCAAACTAAGAATGCACATAAAAAATGCAAACAAAACACAAAAATTAATGCAATCAAAATCCTAAAAAAATCAAAATAATTAACGAAAAAAAATCCTAAATTTTATGTATTCTATAGGAATAATTCAAGCGAGGCAAAAAAATCAACGTGCTCACAGCTGCCCCTCTTTGCTCGGAGACACGAAGGGTTTTCGGGACAAAAGAATAAAATGAAGCAAACTAGTGGGTATTTTTGCCTGCTTGGCACTCCA